CAGGGCCCTCCCGAGCCAGCAAGGCTCTCCATGGGTTTCCTGCTGGCACCAGGCCCTGCTGTGCAACACCCTCAGTTTTCCCACCAGCTTTGACCCCACAGTGGTGCCATGGGGCTCTGTTTGGGCTCCCGGTGTGGGGTCAAACCTGGCTCAGAGCAGGACAGCCAGGGGGGGCTGGAGGAATGGAACAGGGGGCTGAGGCTTGGTTACCATTACAGCCAGAGCCCAGGCACCGTGCTGGGAGCGCAGCCTCCAACTGCAGCAGCAACCGGGGGGCAACTGCCATAACTGCAGAGAGCCTTCCAGAACCTTCCAAAGGCTGCTGAACACCTCTTGTGCTGACTCATGGGGGGGAAAAAGTGGGCAGGAGACAAAGAGACCACTCACCCAGATCTTCGTGTGGCAACAGAGAGAGTTTATTCCCCAGCCCTTCCTTATGAAGCCAATTTCAAAAGGCCAGCCTGGATACTTCCCATTGGTCTGATGCCTACACCCCTTCAGGTCCCGGCCAGTGACATCCCAGCAGCCTTGGGAGCGATGTGACTGGGCCAGGCCCCTGCCAGTCAGCCCAGGGGCTGGCTAAGTCTCACTGTGCTGTGATACATGACACCACCTCACCGTTCTGTCTGTATGAATTTGTGATCTGCTCTCTGTCACCCACCTGCAAGGGCCCTTTGCAGATGGAGGGGACAGAAGACAGCCTGGGTCTAATTTGCACTGGAGCTGCAGCATTCACATCCAGGATATGCCAGGCAACAGCTCAGGTTAGCATTGGTCACAGGCTTGATATTTATAGGTTACAGCTTACCTCTAAAACCAAGAAATTACTTAACTTTTAAACCATTTATCCCTTAGAGAAAAACCCAGCTACTGGAGAAAACAATCTGCAAACTGAAAAACAGTTTGTAAACAGGAAACATAATTTGTAAGCAAATCAAGCCCTTATATGAACTGACACTTCAAGAGTCCTTTCCATGGGATAGGTCCTTGTGATGGTTCTTGAGAGGACGTCAGGATAAGCAGACATATCCAGCATGCTCCAGTGTCCATTGAAACACATTTATCATAGGTTTAGGCAGCTGATTATCATAGGACTATTGTGCTGTTAATATGATTGGTTGAAAGACATGAGAACATGATGCTATGTGAGACTTAAAGGGGGGGGGGAGGAGTGTACATTCACCCAACCTTTTTCCCCTTTTTTTCTTTGTATTAATAACTAAAAATAGGAGCAAAAACATGGACTTTGAACAGTATTAATGAAGTAGGGGTTGCTGAGGGGGTCTCTTTTTCACTGTGAGGACATGAAGGAACCTCTTCTGGACGAGGCTTTCTCATTTATCTCAAAGGAAAAAGGGTTTAACTTTTGTAAAGTTTGTATACTAATATATTTTTCTTAGAGGTTTTTTGTATTTTTTTTAACAACAAACTTGTGTTAATATCTAGTGCAAACCAAAATTTTTAACATGAACAACTTACGAATGATTGAAGAAATATAGGTATTTAAATTTTCTAGTTAATATGGTAACAGTGCAAGCAATATTAACAGATGACTTTTAGGTTTTTGGTTTTTTTTAAATGATGACAGGTGGCAAATTCTCAGTTAAAAAGAGTTTTGCAACTGAAATTTGCTTGTGATATTTCTAAATTAATGCTCTATGTATGCTTTAGTAGATCTAGAATGTTAGGACGATTATATTCTTTGAATCTTCCAGGTCGATCTAGATATATTACAAGTAGAAATACAATGAGAAAACTTACTAAAATACATTCTAGGATCTCTTTAGCATTGTAGCCCATTTCTGAGACAGAAGCATAATATTTTCTTAGTAACTGTCACAGACTTAGTTATCAGAGGCTTCTTAATTTTTGTTTTAGGTAGCAAAAACAACAATAATAAATATTGTACTGTGAGTTCTAGGACATACTTCTGTCCTGGTTTGAAAAGACATGTGTCTACTAAGGAAGGCAGGAGCCTCCCCTGAACTGGCAAGTGTAAAGCCCCTCCCTCCAAATTGTTATAAATTTGAAATTAAGGGGGGCTCTCAGCCAAAGATATGGGAGCAGGAATAACGGCTCTTTATTAGGGAAGAAATTTAAAAAATAAAATAAACAATGCAATAAATCAAAACAACACTGACAGAGTCAGAATACAACCTGAAACCCTGTTGTTGGTAGCAGTTCCAACTGGAATTGTGGCTGCAGTCCTCCTGGAGTGGCAGATGTCATTCTGTTATAGTAGTGATCCTGTAGAAGGGTGTAGTCTTCCTCTCAAGATCCAGTGGAAAAGACAGCTGCTCCTCTGGGAATCCAGTGGAAAGGTTGTTCTGGTGTCAGAAAATTTCAGATTGTATCCAGGTAGGAATGCTTGGTTCCTCTTTGGGCAGAGCATCTCACAATGGGTTGCTGTAAGTATCAGTCATGCAGCGACACTCAATGGCGCATTGACAGCAGATGTCTCCCCAGGGGGAAGGTTGGTTTGTGGAAGAGACAAAGAAAGCTGCCCAATTAACAGAAGATAACTGCCACACCTCTAACAGATGGCAAACAGAATACACATTGCCTTGCAATCCAGGACAACATCTTAGACTGTTGTGCAGTTTTGTAGCCCTTGTGTGACACTCCTTCAGTATTTTTACCCTTAGCACAAGTTATTAGTCTGTTAGAGTCTGTTGAATATGAGACCCTTTCAGAGTGGGACTGTGAAGTTTCATTGAGGTTTGAGGGGTAGAAACTTGCTCTTTGTTTGCTTTTTCACTGCCCATATGCAGGGAGATGCTGGTTTCCTACTGGACTTGGTGAGAGGGTGGCCCTCTCTTAGCTGCTGTGGAATGGCTGTGCCGTGTGGCCAGCACCATCTTTTTGGGACAGCTTGGTTGCTGGTATTCCCCACAGCACTGCATCCCCTCACATTTCCTTCCACTGCTCTTTGCTGGTTGGGCCCCTGCAGGGGCTTTTCCCACACTCTGCTTCTGGGTTTGGTCTCTGCAGCTCTTCTCAGGGGGCCGGGATGGCAGCTCTCCCTATGGCTCACCAAATGTGCCCCCACCTTTTCTGGGGGAGCCCCGGAGGCTCTGTCTGAGCCCTCCCCATTGCACAGCCTGGCCACAGGGTTTTGCATGGTCCTTCAGATGTCCCTCTCCTTGTCCTCCAGCCAGGGCCTCGGTGGCTCTGTAAGGGGAGGCATTAGCCGCCCCAAGCCTCCCTCCTGGCCTTTCCTGAGCACTGTTTCCCTTGCATTGCCAGGCAGTGATCAGGAGTGGGGGCAAAAACAAGCCCTGTGGCCAAGGTGAGCAACAAAGACTCTGCCCCTGGCACGCCTGTGCTGGCCCTGCCCATCCCAGCCCGTGCCATTATTCCCTCCAGGACCCTGGGTGACAGCCCATCACTTGCTCTGCTGCCAAGGAGGCTGCAAACGAGGTGTCCCTTACCTGCTCACAGCTTGGAGAGGGGACAGAAGGTTTCAATATCAACCCTCTATCTGGCTTTTTCACACTGATTTGGGAATGTGACACAGCATGTCAGACAATGAATAGATGTTAGACTTCATATTGATTTAATTTTTTTTTTTGCCTGCACAACAGTTTATTTGAATGCCTAGCAAAAAAATATAAAATTTATTTCAGTCGGTTCTGGACCTAGTCCTAGCATATCAAGCACCTGCTCATAATACACTGTGTTTATTTATCTGTTTCAGATGCTGAACTTGACATATAAATATATATACTGCAATGATTTTGAAAAGAGGTGGCTTCCTTCAGCTTGTGACAAATCCTATTTGGAAATAGTGCACAGCCTCCAAGGGGAAACTTGAAGAATAGGGAAGGGCAAGCACCCCTGTACAGCGCGAGAGAGTAAGCTATGACCACATGCAGCACCAGAACAAAGAACACCACACAGATATGCTTTTGGGCCTGCAAGGCACCAGCCAAAGTCTGCACATGCCTCAGAAAAATATGGGTTTGTAGTGTTTCCTGCGAGCAGCTATGCCCTGCCAGCGTGCCTGTGCAGCACAGCACTGGCACTGGAACGCATCAGCTGTGTCAAATGGCAGCTCTGTGGGTGTGAGGTGCCCTTCACAGCTCCTCAGTGCGTCAGCACATCCTCCTGTGCTTCTGCTGTCAGGGTTCTCCCACCACCCCGGGCTCCAGGGCACCTGAGGTGCTCCGTCCAGTGACAAGCTGGCTGTGTCCCTGTTCTTGTAATGTGTGGTTTTTAGCAGCATGTGGCACAAGAGACTGAGTGGACTGCCTGCACTCCTTGAGCAAGATTTTTGGAGCCTTACAGCAACCTAGAAGGGCATAAAGTAAAGCAGATGCTTGGGAAGTTCTATCTAGTGGACCAGAATTAACTTAATCTCATTATTTCTAAGCACCTTGGGTAATTGAACAGATGGATTACATTCAAATATCTTCCTTTTTAGATTATTCCAGTTATTGCAGTCCTTAGCTGATGCCTGCTTCTCATTGATTTTACACTCACTAACTAGATACTTCATGGTCACCAGCTGTGTGAGGAGGACGAGAGAATTATGTCTCTCAGTGGTAAAGTCTGATGTCTGATGTCTCTCAGCTTGGGTCTGCCAGGTTTTCATGATTGTAAGTCCAGCCTCTCGTGCTTGGGCACAACAGTTCAGAATGAATCAGTAGTTTACACGAGCATGGGCTGGGCTAAGGTCCGCGCAGGGAGACGGTGGATTCCCCATCCCTGGAGCTGTTTAAGGAACGTCTGGGTGTGCCAGTTATCTCTCAGCTTGGACTCGATCTCAGACGGAGGGAGGTCTTTTCCAACGTGGCAGAACAATCTGTCTGAAAGTATACCGGGATCTTACATATCGAAGAACATCCTGCCTTAACTTTTACACGTTCCACATTTTGCATCACGCGCGCCCTCAGGACTGCGGGGACGGCCCGGCCCGTCCCGCCCCTGAGGGATCCTCCGCGGGGTCCTCCGCGCCGCCAGAGGGCGCCAGCCGGGCTGTGCTGGGCTTTGCCGGGCTGTGCCGTGCGCGGCCATGGCGGTGCTGCTGGAGACCACGGTGGGCGACCTGGTCATCGACCTGTACACGGAGGAGCGGCCCCGCGGTACGAGCCGAGCCCGCCGGCACCGCCTTTCCCCGGCCCTGCCGACACCGGGCTCGCCCCTGAGCCCCCCGGCACCGGCTTTCCCCTTGCGCGGGCGGGTGGCGGCCTCGCTCGGCGCAGAGGCCGGGGGTGCAGTCAGTGCTCACGGCCGCAAATGTAATATCTGTAATATCTGCTAAATCGAAGGGCTACCGTGAGCTTCTTTCTCAAGTGTTTGAAAAGAAACGGGGTGGAGGGGAAGTATGTTTCTGTGTAACCGTGTTTAGGGTTCTTTGAATCGCTGGAGATGGTTTGTAGGAAGGGAGGAAATGTTACGCCTCTTTCTAGCATTTCTCTCATTGTTTATGGGCTGTACCCTCATAAGTCTCGATGCAGTCTGCTCCAAAAACACTTTTCAGCGCGTTAAACTAGGGCTCTGTTATATCCATTCTTATTGTATCTGGAGTTTCCTTTGTAAATGTTGCTATGATTTCTTGCAGCTTGTCTGAATTTCCTGAAGCTCTGCAAAGTCAAATACTACAATTATTGTCTTATTTATAATGTACAGGTGAGTATTCTCAATTCGTTGTTTTTTGGTTGGTTTAAATTCACAAACATGAAAGCAATATCTTATGTGATTCTCCTTTGTGACAGAGGGATTTTATTATACAAACTGGTGACCCCATGGGAACTGGTCGTGGAGGGGAATCCATATTTTGGTAAGTGTTTATGTATAGAAATGATACATAGATATGTGTATGTGTGTATACATATATATATCTTAACAGAGAATTTGTGTAAGGGAGTAGGAGGTCTGGTTAGATTGTCTTCAGCTTTCTTGGGGCAGAATTACTGGTGGGAAATAAAATTGTTGATGTATAAGCTTCCTTGGTTTTCATACTTAGATACCTTTTTAATTTCTATGCTGCCTTTGGCCATTCACTGTTTTTTTTCCTGGACATTGTTCTGTCTCTAACCTTAAAAGTGAAGTTACAGGTAGCAACTTGTACATACTTTTCTGTCTGTTTAAAAGCTGGCAAATAGCTATGTTTGGTAAGAAGAGTATAATGACTAAATACTCTGTAGAAGACAGAATCAATTAGCATTGTAAATAAATTTATTATTATAACAAAATGTACTAAATTGAGCATGAGTGGAGCATAGAGGCAATACTTGATTTCCTCTGTATATAAGAAAGTGATCCCCTTACTTATTTGAGTTTTAGTCATGTTGAATGTTTACAAGTAAATTGCTTTTCCTATTTGTTTGAGAAGTTTTCAGTGGTCAGGGGGACAAGAGTTGAAGGAATCATTCAAACAGCTAGGATGGAGTTAAAGTGCATGTGTTCTGTATGATTCATTTGAAATAGTTATTAAAAGTAGGATTAAAGTTACAGAGCGGAACTAATTACTGGGGAGATGCTGGGGAACACAATTTACAGCAATAAAAGTGTTCAGCTGGAACAGATACAGTGTTTCTAGACTAGTGCTGGCTTTTGTAAGTCAGAGCCTCTTAAATGCAAAACGTGGAGCTCGTGGGTCCATGAATCACCTCTCCAGTGGTCCTGGAAGCAGTGTACCTGTGCTAAGCAGATTAAGTCTAGGTAGGTAAACTCACCAGGCTTGCCTGTCTCTGCACACAAGTAAATTAAGTTTATTTTGATATGATACAAGTCTTCTAAGACTTACTGGTATGGCAAATTGGGAAGTACAGTGTGATGAGAGTGTCAGATCCTGTCTGGCAATAGCATGGAGAAGGTCAATTCGTCTTTTGTACCTGTTTGTTTCTGCTGCAGTCCCTGGAACTGCAGTTTGTGTTCTTGCAGGCAAAGTTTAATTTGAATCCTCTCTTCATAGAGGCTAGCACCTGCTTAGCAGAATGAGTTTAAACACAGCACTGTCCTTACATTTGGGCAAATATGGTTATTGGTCATGCAGCTGTCAGTTTGTGGAATGAGACAAAATAAGTGATAGCAGGGTTAGATAAAAAAAAAAATTAAAAAGAGTGCAACAATTTGCTATATCCTGTATATCCCAAATTACTGTATTCAGTCCTGTCTGTATGATGAACTCATTTTGCACATAGATGTACTGCTTTTCTGTTTTTCTTGGGAGATAAATTTTTCATGTAAATAACTGCATTTTTGCAGTGTGGAATTACTTATTTTTGCAAAACTTACTTAAAATGTATAGTTCCTTCATGCCTCAGAAAAATGCTGCATACTGTACTTAAAAATATATAAGTATACCCTTCCAACCCCCCAAAAAGCCTTTCTCTGGAAATGTCCAGAGAAAAATTTGTTGTTCCTTGTAATATAAACTTTGGAAGTGTACAGGTGCATAAATATGTTCATAAAATACAGGTTTATTTGAAGGCCTAATAGAAATATGAAATGTAAAAAATTTTTGAGATGTTGTTTACAGTTTTAAAATGTTTGATTAGCTCACTTTCAAAAATTCCTTTTTTTGGCAATGTGTTTGTTATAATGTTTTTTTAGTCAACTGTATGGTGATCAAGCCAGATTTTTTGAGGCAGAAAAGGTGCCGAGAATCAAGCACAAGAAGAAGGGAACTGTGTCCATGGTGAACAATGGCAGTGATCAGCATGGATCACAGGTCAGCACTGTGTTAATACTCTGATGTGATTTTGCTAATGTACAAAATGGTCAGGAGAAAAAATTTCTGTAGTTACATGGAAGTGAAAATTAAGGAAACTGAGTTTTGAAATAATGTTGACATTTTCTGGTTATGACTTTGTGTTAGTTTGGAAATTGAAATCATATCACTGTTTTTCCTGTATGGTTACTTGAAAGTGCATTAATAATGCAAGTTTACAGTTTTACCCCAGTGCTGGTATAAAAACAGTTTTTGAAAGTGGTCTGGTTCTGTTTGCTGTTCATGTGCACAAAGATTTAGTGGAAGGTAATTATTGTTACTTATTTTGTAGGGGTTTTTTTGTTTTTAAAGCTCATAGAACAGTATTATTTCTGAATTATTATTATTTTAGGTGCATTGTCACTTGCGGGAATTAAAATGCCTTGCTTTTAATATCCATATATTTTAATTTTTAAAAAGAGGGATTTTTATTAATCAAAGAACAATTTTTTAAAAAGTAGGGTTTAATTCGAGCTAGACCTTGTAAAATACACAGGTAATTATGGTGCTTCCCTGCATTTTATGTATAAAATGGCATGGTTGGGGTATTTAGGAAAAAGAGATTACAATAGTATTTGTATTTAATATACAGCCTGCTAGTGTATATGCAGGCATGTGGGAATGAATGCTGATCCCAGGAACGTTATTCCATTTTTTTCCTTGGGAAAGAAAAATTCCAGAAAGGAACTACATGGAGTTGCCTTACAAGTATAGTGTAGCTTACTGTAACCTTTACCAACTACTAACCAATCTTCACTGTGTTGTAGAGAGAATGAGGAGTGGGATGTTACCAGTCAGACTGTAAGGTGTGGGTGCAGCAGTTGTGTCCTGTTATTTGTGCATATCTGCCTCTTCCTCCCTCTTCCATTGCCAAATGCTCTCTATAATTTGTTACTGAATTCTCAGCTGGTATCAGTCTTCATAGTTTCAGTTTTGCCTTAAGGTGAAAGATCTGATTTGTTGTAAGATACTTTCTGGTACCAGTTCAAGTTGATCTAAGTCAGTGTGTGCTAGTTCTTCTCTCAATGCTGCTGCATACTGTTTTTCAGGAGATGGGGTTTGTGGGAAGAAAGGAAAAAAGTGTGGATAGAATGGGTAAAGATAGTAGGTAAAAGTAGTACTATGGGAGTTAGGTAAAGATAGTAGAGGGAGTTTCTGCCAAATTTATGAAAAAGTACCTGCCAAATGCTGCTTGGTGAGCAGGTGATTTGAGCTCAGCTCACAAGGGGTAGCCTTGCTCTTCCTGTCCTCCCTTTCATCAGCTGTGATGCCAGTGACAGCCTTTGCTGGTCTTGCTCAGCTGCCCTGCCCAGCAGAGATCTCTCTGCTCCTCCAGTGCCCTTGTGCCCAATTACCAGTTCACAGAAGGATCCTGTGAGCTGCACCCACAGGCTCCTCACAGGGAGATTGCCTCAGGCAATGGCTGTGAGCTGTACGTTGGCTCACCATATTCCCAGAGCAATCTTCTACAAAAAATGGGAAGATGGTTTTTTTTCCCCACTGAATTCAGTGAGAGTGTGTTAAGATTTAAAAAAAAGTACAACCTGAATTTTTCTGTTTACTGTTTCTAGTTTTGTATCTTCTTTTGTAGTTCCTCATTACCACAGGGGAAAACCTGGATTACCTTGATGGTGTGCATACAGTATTTGGAGAAGTGACGGAAGGCATGGATGTGTTGAAGACAATTAATGAAACCTTTGTAGATAAGGATTTTATCCCATATCAAGATATCAGGTGTGACTGCTTTTAACTTTGCTTTTTGAGGAATACATTGGTGTTGAATGAATTTACTTCTTTTGGAAACTAGATGAGTATCATGATGTCAGGTGACCTGTGTGTGCTATCTTAAATCCTTTTTATTCCCCCAGTATTAGTGGCAAAATCAACAAGTACTAAATAAACAAGTATGTACAAAAATATTTAGCCATGTTGCCCTTCCAAAAGCATCAGTGCTAGAATTTCCAAGCACACAGGATATTTGGCTCTTTGGGATGCAACTGAGATTTAGTGGGGCTGGTCTGCTGTTAGTTGGGTAAACCAAGTTTTACTTGCATGTAACCAATGCTGGTCTTGACTTTGTTTTCTCTAAGGATAAATCATACAGTAATTTTAGATGATCCCTTTGATGACCCACCTGGGCTGTGTGTTCCTGATCGCTCACCAGAACCTACAAAGGAGCAGCTCGATGTGAGTGTTCGCAACAGGAAAAGTTGGAAGAAATAATTTTAAAAGTTTATCTCAATTAGTGTCCAGCACAGATTTGGCCAAAATAAGAAATCAGTCTTCAAGATTTTGTGTCTCAAATCTGTGTCCTAAGAGAGCTACACATTTTTTCATGCAGGAGGTGTTCTACTGTGCCAGCTTGAGTTCTGATATGTCAAATGCTTGTCAGTTATTTGGGGCTACTGCTGTGTTTAATCAAATACAGCTCCTTAACCTTTCAAGAGAAGGATTAAAGCCTGACTTGGATGCTCTCCCCTGTGGCTCCAGTGGAGTTGTGTTTGAAAGCTGTATTTTAGGTTTCTATTTACAGTGTAGATAAGCAGAACATTCAGAATATTCAACACTAGTATTACTGATTTTCTGTATACTCTGGTAGAAGACAAAATATAACTAACATTTATTAATATTAAAATGGTCACTATTGTTTTCCTTTTAAATGTGAATAGGTTGTGTTTCAGTGGAAATAATCTTGGTCATTCTTGAGTTATATGTGCAGGCACACATACTACTCTGGGCTATTTGTTCAAACAGAAAGAATTTTATGAAAATAATTACAGTTATTAATAATTTACTCATAGTATGCAGTTAGAGAAATTGCTTGTGAGATTATTCCCTTGTATGGAAACAGTTGTTTCTAGTAAAGAATTAATTAGCTAGAGAAAATATTGTTTGTTTTTAACCTTAATAATACAATTATAAGATTGAAATTGGGGTTTCATAGTATGTGTACACAGTGGTTGATCTCTGATGTACCTTCAGCTATGTTAAGAGTAAGGTATTTAGTAGCTCACTGCCAGCAGCATAGAGATGTGAAGACTTGTACTGAGTTTTTTTCGCTCATAGCCTGTCTGAGGATAGGCATATCCTCCCCTTTTAGCATAGAAATGTCTGTAAAAATAATAAACCTCAAGTCCTGCCTAGGTATAATGTATAAAAACAAAATTATTATTGTGCTATGCTCTATTTAATGTCTTGCTAGACACAACAAATATTTGCAGTGTTCCTTACCTTCATTTGTGGCAGGAGTTACCTGGATGAGTTGACACTTGTGGTGAGCTTTTGAGTGGGTGGGTATATAGAAAAGAATTTAGAATACCTCACTGAATATGGTTTAGACTAGTCAGAGAACTTCAGAAATAATTCACAGTGCCTGAAATATGAGGATAACATCTTATCCTTTTTTTCTTTTGTTCTAGTCTAAGTGGGAAGGACAGAATGAAAGCCCAGTTCTGCAGACATACAGTGCTTAAGCGTGTTTTGTGTCTTGAGGGATGAGGGAAGAGGTTGTCCAAGTAATAGTTGGAAAATGAGAGAGTTTTTGGCCATGGTTTGGTAATAAATATCCTTTTCCTTCATTTTTCAGAGTGGCAGAATAGGAGCAGATGAAGAAATTGATGACATGAAAGGACGGACTGCAGATGAAATAGAAGAAGTTCAGGCAGAAAAAGAAGCAAAAACTCGTGCAATTCTTTTGGAAATGGTGAACATCTTTCTCTATTTACCTTTTAGATCTTATTCCTCTGTGTGTGTGCATGCTCTAAAGTCTAGGAGGGTGTGTACCATTTATCTTGAAATTACCTATCTGGTGATGATGTCGTGTTTCAGAATCTGCTATTAAATATCTCTTTTACAATGAAAGGATTAAGCATGAGCACTCATGTTGTGGTTTTCTGATAAAACCAGTGATAGTTCATTGTCAGAGTGGCCAGTGGAGGCTTTCTAAAAACTTGCTAGAAATTCATCCAATTAAAAAAATGTAACAGATATAGTATGCTGCTGGAATACCTGCAGTCCTGGAAAAGGTTCAGCATGTGTGGGAGAGAGCTGAGCTAATTTGTAACGAACTCCTCTCAGTGATAAACTCTGTATTGTAAACAGGCTTTGAAGTCCTTTTTTTTTTAAAGAAAAAAAAGGAATTAAAATATACACCCTTGAAAGATTAGTGAATCCATCTCTCTTCCTTACAACTACCAAATTCAAATTTATGGTGAACAGTTTGCTGCAGAGACTTATTCCAAGATCAAGCCAGATCTGGCCAGTGTTGCAGAAGATTTGCAGGGACAGAAAGGGTGCACTTGCACCTTTTGGAACTGTTTTTATCCTAAGACCAGAAAAAGCAAAGTAGAACGTATTTGTGAACTTTCATGAATTCCAGCAGTGGAATTGCAAATAAATAATAAATTTTAGGTGCTATAGAAAACACTTTTTTCTGTGACACTGAATAGCAAAAATATTTAATAAAGTTTTGATTTTGTGATAGGAATGTGAGATCACACAAAAAATGTGTTCCCAGTGTGCTGTACTACCTACTGAGAGCTTTAGGCCAAAGTGATGTCTTCTTTCTGTATCCCAGGTTGGAGACTTGCCAGATGCAGACATCAAGCCGCCAGAAAATGTGCTTTTTGTTTGTAAACTGAATCCTGTGACCACTGGTGAAGACCTGGAGATAATATTTTCACGATTTGGTCCCATTAAAAGGTAATTATAAAAGAGAAAACTTTCTTTGTTGAAATTGAACTTGATTCCTCCCAGTCTGTTTAAGTTTGGCTGTAAAGGAGTAGTCTGGTGTCTCAGGAAATTTATGCTCTGTTTGGATAGAGACCACAACAATGGGGATACAAAGGCAGATCTAGCTGGATAAATATCCAGCCCCAGGAGTGGTTTTAAGGGAAGCCTAAGGAAGTGTAGGAACCAAGAAGGTGTGTAACACTTCTCTTTGCCCCCGTCCTCTCACTCCCTTCAGCAGTTTTTATGTCAGATGCTCAATGAGCTGGATAGAGTCTCTGGGATTTTCTTTCCTGTGGGAGTATGTGTGGTTTGGGATAAAGCACCAAACATCTGTGGTGTCTGATACACTTCTTGTAAGGTGTTCCTCATTCCTGCTGCCCTTCTCAGTTTTGACCTTGGCTTCTAGTAGTTTCAGCTGATTCCTCCTTGTACTGCTATCAAAAGACCGGATGGGCAGTGAAATCTGCTTTCCTACACTCCTCTATCCTACACCCCAAAGTTATTTTTTTTCCTTGCCAAGAGAACTAACCTGCATATTAATGCTTCTTCATAGTACAGACTTAATTTCCTTGTTTCGCTTTTCTTGTCCTTTTCCTGTTCTTTTGTTTTCATCTCAAGATGACAGAACCCGAACTGCACACAGTTTTGAGGAAATTACAGATTTATAGTGGAACAGTTTTGTTCTCTGTTTTACTCTTAACTCCTTTTCTAGTGAATGCTAGTTGTTTTTTTCATTGGGGTTTTTTTACAATATACAGTTACGGTTCAACCCATGCTTATCTCGCTGCATGTTTATCGATGCAGAGATGTTCCTTATACCCTTTCTGCTTACCTTCCCCAAAAGCTTTTGGTGTAGGAGTTTGTTAGAATTTGCAGAGGGATTTCAAAAGACTTCATGGAATGGATCATCATCATCATCACTACACATGAGCATATTGACTCTGTTAGAGCATTTCATTTAAGTTTATTCAGGCGGTCTGATGTAGGCCCTGTGTATTCAGATGGATGCTAACTTTGTTCTGCTTGGAGTTTCTAGCAGTTTGTGCAGTACTGGCACACATGTCTGCAGGCTTCCAGATCCTAAACTACACTGTCTGTGTGTGTGAGGGAAATTTGTGTTGTGTGCTACTCATACTACTCCAGTGTGATTTCTCTATGCTGTAAGGATTTCTAATTTTTTGTATCTCTGTTAGAGTTGTCACTCTTCTGCAGTCCTTCCACTTTCAGAGAACAGAGAGGTTCTCTGAATAATCCATGATCCACAAAATCATTCTGCCCTCTGCTGCTAGGAATTCCTGTAGCTTGTCTCAATAGTCTTATGGTCTACTTTTTTTTCTTTTCCCTCCCAGATTTTTTTTCTTTCATCTTGATCATCTTTTGATTCTGGATCCTGATTTGTCACTTCCTTTCTACATGTCTCACATTATTCTCACCTTAATGCCACATATCCTGCCCTTGTTGTCTGCATGCCCTCCTCCAGCATCCTGTAGTCAGAATTACATCCAGTACAAGAGTTGTGCAATACTGGTACAATACTATATTCTTCCCATTTTGCACTATATACTCAATACTTTCAGGCTTCTTATTTTTGCCCAGTGACCTGCATGATAAAAAGTTGGGCTGCTGAAGAGGTGCTTGCTAAGAAGAGAAAGTTTGTCACAGGATGTTTGTTTAAACTTTTGCTTAAAATGACAGAGAAAACAGAATGTGGGATTTCTGGTCTTGCATTAGTGAAATGCAAAAAATTAGAAACAAACAGTAATGTTGGAAAATATATTTTGTTTCATTGATTAGAAATTCATCTATAGTTTTGTGCTTCATGGTAACCACGTGTGAGTTCAGTGTAGTTGCTCAAAGCAATGTTTTTTGCTTTGAAAAAAGCAAAAATGCAATCATGCATTTTTTTCTTGCAATAGGGGATCTCAGAATCAAGTGTTTTAATACCTTCAAGGTGTTTAGGTTTTGTGGATTGGGGTTTTTTGGGTTATTTTTTTAACTTACTTGTCCTTTTAAGCAGTGCTTTCCTACCCTACATTTTTTGCTCCAACAGTGTTGACATTTTAATTTCCTATCATTTTTTCAGTTGTGAAGTGATCCGAGACTGGAAGACTGGTGAATCTCTTTGTTATGCTTTCATTGAGTTTGAAAAGGTATGGGTTTTAGGTATGAACTGTATGTAGATCCTGCTTGTAAAAGCCCCTTTTTGGTATACTTCTATCTAGGAAAAACACTGACATCTTCAAGTGTGGAATAGCTAGTATTTTCTCTTACTGAGAGAAATTATAACTTGGTTATAGAAGTTGTAGGTCCTAAATGAGTCAATATGCAAGTCTGTCTCTGTTTGAGCTGCCAGTACAAAAATGTGCTTAGACTGTCTTGAAACCAGTGGGAGGGGATCAGGCCCTTTTTTCCCCCAAAGTGCATTAAGTCTTGGAAGAGTTGAAGAAAGGAATGCTAGGAGCATGCAGCATACAGAAAGGAGGGTGTATGGAATAAGATGGATCTATGTTTTCAGTGGTTTTCTTTTCTGGGCTTGTAAATGATGCCCACTGTATCAACACACTGCCCTTACTGTGAGATGGATGGCAGTAGCTCTCTTGGTGCTGGGTAGCTTTATGTGTCCTGCTGTCTCTCATCTGTGAGGGCAACACTGAAAAATGGTCTCACTTTCCTTTAGACTATTTATGTAGTTCAAATGGAACTTCTATCAGTTGTTGTTTTCCTTTTTTTTCCCCGAGTGTGTTACATGTGCCAGATATGTAGCTGAATGGGCAATTTTTTAAATACTGAAATGAGCTGAAGAATTGGGAATTGAAATGCTGATAGTCAGAGAAAGCATAACTATTTCTTTTGAAATGGTACAATTCAAGAACTATGGTGCTTTAGGCAATTTCAGAAAGAAATGTATGCCACTAAGCAGTTGAATTTCTGTTTGAGCTTTTCTGTGAATATTCCTATGAAATAATCATGACTCAAGATTTTCCTGGTTTATATCAGGAGGAAGACTGTGAGAAAGCCTACTTCAAAATGGACAATGTGCTGATTGATGACAGACGGATACATGTGGATTTTAGCCAGTCTGTTGCAAAGATTAAATGGAAGGGAAAAGGTAGGTATATTTGCAATTCTTTGATCCTCATAACTTAACAAGCCATGACTTCTAATCTAAGCATTATATAAAGAGTTAGGAGTTTAAATCATCTCATCTTCAGGCATATAAATGTTTCTGGTACTGTAATAAATAGAGCCAACACAGTTGTTAGTTCTTCCCTTCATTTGTTTCATTAGAAAAAGTAGAAGGGCTTCTTACTGTTACATGAACATTGCATTGCCACTGATCACCTTTTTGGCCAATGTCATTTTGCCACTAAACATTTTTTTCGTCTCAAATTTTGGACATGATTTTTTTGATATATATTACTTACTAGCAAAATAATATGCCAACACATTGTTATTTTCTAGTTTCTTTATTCACTGTATGACAGGTGCATACAAGAAAAAGTCAGTATTGGGGCCAGGGATTTCTGCTCTTCACCCCCTGTAGGTCAGATGTACTGCATGACAGATTGTATGTTACAAAAACCCAGTTTCAGGTGTTTGAGGATATTTTGGGAGGAAAAGGGTGGTGGAAGAAGTGGATGCAGTGGTTATTTGAATACTAGGGGCATGAGCAGAACACTGGACTTGGAGAGATGTCTGTGCATTGCATTGGTGACATTCTTGTGTGTGGTCTTCTGAAAATGCAGTCAGGCCTCAGTTGTTGGTGTGCAGTTTCTTCAGGTAGGGTTGTGGCCATGAACACAGAGATGCTGGAACCTGTCCTGCCCAGAGCTGAGATGACTCTATTCTGTCTATACCAGGTGCTGTAGTGCATCCTGTATTGACTGGCTGCGTGGGAAACTTTACCTGGTGTCTAAGTTGTCCAAAATATTGGAAAGCTAACTGTATTGTCATCTCGTGCTTACATGTTACCCCAAAATGACCTTCCACCCTCGCGGCGGTTTCTGGCCTGGCCAGCGAGTGTTGCAGTTCTGAGCGTGGCCGTGAGAGGGCAGCACGCTGCCGCGGTTCGTTGATCCGCGCATTGGTGCTTCCGTGAATGGAAGCTGAAATCCATCGTGTTCCTCTTTAAATCTGGACGTGAACCGTTTTAGTCATAGTCTTCCGCTTGAATTCTTGAGCTGTAGCTGTCTCAGAGGTTTCCCTCCGTGCAGACCAGAGCAAAAAAATCATTTAATAATGAGAACAGTCTGTGGACTTTCAGGGTAACACAATTTTAAGCAGTGTGATATAGGACCTGTAATAGAAGTGAGACTGAGCCACTTGCTGAATCCTGCTTTGTGATCCTCTTTATGTGTTGTCTCCACTGGACGTGAATGAGCAGAAAGCTCGGTGTTGTTTAATGGAATCTGCAAGCAAGAGAAGGACAGAACATCCCAACTTGTCCTACTCTTTTCTACTCTGTTATGCAGATGTCAGTGTTTCTGTAACTGTATCCTGCTCTGGAGCTCTCCGTGGTTATAAAGAGCCCCTAAATCATCATCAGAATTTAATGAGAGTTGTGGGTGTTGGTTGTGTCTGTGGTTAGAGTGAAATGAACATTTTTTTTTGTGGACAGGTGGGCAGTATACCAAAGAAGATTTCAAGGACTATGAGAAAGACCGTGACAAACCTTCAAAATTTGCTCTGAAAGAAAAGGTTAAACCAAAGCAAGAGTATCCTTTTCTTTTCAAAGGTACTTTTTGAATTAAGTAGAATTTATGAAAACAGCCTGGGAAAAGCCTTCTTATTTTTAAAGACTGCCAAATGGATGTTTGCCTTCTAGCTCATATTACCATTTGATGTTTGAGATGGCATTTAATATTTTGTGGTTTTCACTTTGAATTTAGTCAAATCAAAATGTGCTGTTTCACTTCCATGTTGTGTGCAGGTAAATAATCCTAGTCCACAGCCCTGGAATGACATATGGCATAACAGAGTTCCCAAGTAATTTCAGAGAGGACCTTCTGCCTCCGAAATGAGGCCATTCTAGTATTAATATTAAACCATTCTCTAAGATTATACTTGCTTGTGATAAGCAAGAGAGAAAACACCATAGGTTGTTCAGATATCCCCAGGTAGATAAGAAAGGAGAATGCAGCCTGGCTGTATTGTTTAACAGGACAGACTTCAGTGATTTTAGCACAGCTGATTTTTTTTTCAGTGTGTACAACTGTGTTCTGCCTGAAATACGTGTTAAGTCTTGGTAAATGCTTGTTAGATAAACAGGGATTGGTTTGCTTCCTGGGCTGTTGTGTTCTGCTCCTTACTGATATTGGGAAACAGATCTGTCCTTAACCAGCACCATCAGTGCCAAGTATGACCTTGTGCTGGATGAGGATGTAGAAGAGTCTCACACAAGTCAGTCACACTTGGCTAAAAAACAGAAAAAGAAAAAGCACCACCACTCTGAAGATGAAGATGATGACAAAAGGACCAAAAAATCTAAGGTACTTGACTCTTCATGCATTAACTTTATACCTGTTCATTGTTTTCCTCATAAAAGAAGCCAGGAAGAAAGTGTGATATTGGATAAGGACACAGCGTGCAAAGTCCTGTGTAACATACAGCAGCTGTAAACCTGCAGAAGGCTGATGTTAATATTTGATTATGAAAGAGAGTTTCCTCATGAACTTTTGTAGCTTGGCAGGTCTAGATGATTTTTTGCCAAAGCATCCTGAAGAGGCAATGTAGCCTCTCATAAAGTAGGGGATCTTCAGCACTTTGAACCTGTTGTTCATGTATTCCTAGTCATAAAGTAGTAGTTAATTGTATTTCACAACTGTAAACTATGTTTCATTTTCTTGCCAGACCATAATATGTTGGGTTTTTCCTGTGTGGAGTTGGGAGCACAATCTCTTTACATTATTTTTTTTGTATTTGTCTTTAAATGCTTTAAGTGTAAAAATCTGCATGTAGGTTTGCTTGCATCTGGAATGTGCAAGCCTGTGGGGCTGTGGAGGACAGCACCAGGAGACAGCAATTCTGTCATTCATTAGTTCCACTGCAGCCTGTCAGGACAGCATTCCCACATTTCTGAGAGCTTGGGATGCTGAAGATAAGGTGTTTTGTGGAAACGAATTCTGCAGTGAGAAAGTGGAGTGTTAACCACCACTGAAGTGAACATTAGGAAGAATTGAGCTAAACTGGAAAAGAATCCAAACCCCAGTATTTTTACAGTGCAAGCTTTATGAGTGAGAACAAAGCTGTCTCTAGCAACTTTGCAGAAAGTGAAAAAGTTTCAGCTGCAGCAAATAAGGCTGTTGTCCCATCCTCAGTTTTGAGCACTGATGAAAGTTTTGGGTACACAAGGCATACATTATTCTGTTCTTATACATCTTGTACATCTGTTCTTATACTTCTTGCTGAAGTGCTTGAAAATTATTTTTCTCATGAACATCAGCAATTAAAATCTTTCAGTGCCAGCAGTGAGCCCTATTGCTCATTCATGGACCCAGGTTTTTTTGTCACTGCACTAATTCAGTCAGGTTCCTTTGAGTGGAGGGGAGAGGCTTGTTCAGGTAAGTAAAGTCCTGGCTGCAGTGTGTGCATACAGGAGGTGTGGACTAATGTTGGTTTAGAATTTCTCCTGTCTGTTTGGCTGATGGAAACTGTTGCTTTAGACTTCTTGACACAGGTATTTTTGGTGGCAGTCTTTGTTCCTGATGGTTCAGGAGTTACACCCATGGAGCTGGCCTGTCATGCATTATCAGCAGAGCACATTTCAAAATCATTTAGAAGCCTTTACCCCTGCAGGTGGCACAACTGCTGGCAGCAGTAGGTTTTTAACATCTAATTGTTCTAATTGTTATAAATGGATTGTGAGACTTCATAGCACAGAAACATGAATGAGAACAGAGGGATTTTTGGTGCTATTTTCAAGTTCTGGAATAGAACATATTCTAATGCTTGTCTGTGTGATCTCCTCTGTGTTTACGTGCATCTTTTTGTGATTTAGTCACCTGCTCCTGATGTGGTTTGTTCTTGTAATCTGCTGCTGCTGGGTTCTGGTATCTTCTTTCCCACAGCTTTCTTCTCTCTTAGTCACCTTTACCCATTTTGCTGTAAGTAGTTCAGCTTTCTTATGCCCAGAATCACAGATGGAGGCTCACGTCTATTCTCTGATGGCAAGCATCATAGTTCCCTCTTGGAGCTGTGAAAATTAATTTCTGGGAAGAATTTTTCTCTCTGCATTTGAATATCCTTGTTAGTGTGTACTGTACAGTAGGCACGTACTGAGCAGTGTTTACTCAGTCTCACACAGACTCAGTATTTTGGGCATGGCCTCTCTAGTGAAATCTGCAGCTAGCTTAGGTGACAAATCCTGCTTAGCATATACAAATTTTAATTTTGTTTTGTTTTTTACTATTCATACTTTGGGTATAATATGTGAAACTAAGGGGAGGCAGGCATGTTCCTGAGGTGGAATATATTCAGGGGGAATGTTGAGTCCAACACAAAGCATAACAGCATGGAAACTTTTTAAGGAATAGTAGTATTTTTAATATAGGCAAACAAAACATTCTTCCTTTACCCTATTTTGTAAATCACTGAATGTATTTGAGGTAAGAACTTTAAAATAAAAAAGCAGCAGACCTTCCACAACTCATCAGCCAAAGACCACAGTAGCCATGCTTCATACAGAAACTTCCACCATGAGTCCACAGTGTGGCAGAGATTTTAATTAAGAGAGATATGGGGCTTATAATGGGAAGTTCTGGCAACTGGAGCTGCAGTTTGTGTTATCAGCTCTAGCTATGACTTGAAGGGGTTTTATTTTCTCAATAGTTTCCATGATGTTGAGTTGTTTTTCTGTTCTCTTGCTGGTGTTACTTTTTTTCTTTAGTATATTTTGACTCATCCTTTTCTTCGTCTGACACCCATTTCCTGAATCTTCAGCCTGTGTGTTGATGTTTCAAGAATATATTTTTGAGTCTTGTGCTGTTTGACTTCATCACAGTGGGTAGAAGAGGTAGGGTGCTGTGGCTTGCTTTTAGTAAGTAACAGGATGTGGGTCTGGGGCAGGAGGGTGGACTGCCATGTGGGTTTGTGGATAGGATTTGCTAGAGTATTTTTGAACACAGGACATGCTTCTGCCTGAGATCTGTATTATGACTTTGTTTGCCTTCCAGTTTTCTGGCTTTTCCTGGATTTTATTTTTTAAGAGAGCTGGATCTGTGAGGTAGTATGGCCTATCCAATAGATTTTTGCAAGACATAGGGACTTCCCAATTTCAGATTGCTGTAGTGCATGGTTTTGGCAGAGGCACTGATTTTTCTGGTTTTGATTTCCTGCTTTTACTGCTTATTGGACACTGTTCCCTTCATATTCAGGGTCAGGTTTTATCAAAATCTCCCTCCAAAAAAGGCTCTCTCTATTTGTTTGCTCCTTTTAACCTTTAACTACTGTGTTTAATGTATGTAAGAGGTGGCATATGCATTTTACTTCCATGGCCAGGATATTTCTTGCTATTTCACCTGGGACTGCTGTTTAGTCAAATATTACTTTTGGCAAAATCAGCCATGAACTTCCAGAGAAGCATCTTTCCCTCTTTCCTTATTTCCTTCCTTGTGTGTGCTCCAGCACAGTGCTGGATTAAGAATTGGGGTGATCATCACTTACTCAGTGACTGATGAGAGGCTGTGATCCTGCATTGAGAAATACAAATTTCAGCAGTAAGAGAGAGCCTGCTTTTAAGTATGAATCTTTTTCTTCCTCTTCCAAGAGAGCGTGTTTTTGACTTTTGGGCTTAAAAATTTGGTTTCAAAATACCATTATTTTTAGTAATTTAGTTTTAGTAATTTTAGTTTCAGTAGTTTTAGTAATTTAGTGTGTTTTAAAAATTGACCTTTTTCCACACCAAAGACTTTAAAATGAAAAATCTTATAAAAGGAGAAATGTATCTTATGCTGGCAAGAAATAAAGATGCCATTCATTCTAGTAATTCAAATTTCACTTTTTTTCCTTTACATTGTGATCATATTAGGTACTGTGGTGACCTTGTTGTGTCACTTTCAGACTTGCCCTGAAGACCTGTACCTTAAATGCTTTTGTGAAGGTCACTGTTGGCATTTAACACAATGCTTGTATGACTCTGATCCTTTCAGCAAGTTGTCCTTTTCTGTGGCATCCAACAAGGGCCGTTTGTCTGTAGTTTGAAATGTTCACTAACCTGTTCCCTGCCCCCCTTGGCCAGTAGCCTTGTCTCCAGTGTTTACTTGGTGGATTGTCCAGCTGAGTCTGCCCTGCTTTTCTCCTGTTTCTCCCATGTGCTGGGAGGAAACTCCAGCAACAAACCAGTTAGAAGGCAGCCATACACCAAGCCCACCATTTGGTTTTCTGGCCAATATTTTTTGTCTTGTTCCTGTCTACCCCTCCACTAGCATGTCCATTGTCTGATGTTTACCCAGGCCTTGTCACAGAGGGGCTTGAAACCTCTTGGCTTTTTCAAACATATGGAGAGTGAGGCCTTTGGGCACAAGAGTATGGCTGTGCATCATTTTGAGAGTGGATAGACAAAGCTCTTACAAGTAGCTGGAAGCATCATTGAGACACTTTGGTGGATCCAGATTTTAAAATCTGTACTGAAATAAAGCACAGTAAAGATGTGGAATAGGCATTTAGCCACCAGTGAGATTACTGTACCCAGCAGCAGCAGAATGTTTTTGTTACAGGTCAAACCTGTGATTATTCGTGTGTCTGTTCATCCAGAGGGTTTGTGTTGCTTATTGTAACCCTAATACTTTCAGCATTATCAGTGTCATTCTAAAGGTGGTGTTTGCTCTGGGAACCACCCCACTCACTGGCTTCCTGCATAAAATCTCTGGTTAAAGTAGAGTTTTTTCACCATTCTTTTAAATAAATGAAGTTTTCTTGTTGGTACATGGAGTGTAGGTTTTAACCATACAATTGTGAAGGCTGCTGTCATGGTATATCCTTAGAAAAATAATATCTGAAATGAGGAAAGAAATGCTGTGTGATTTAATGCAGACGTTCTTCTTAACGCATATTGGTCTGTGCTTATCAGTATTAGTATTATTAAAACCCCATGAAATTGTATCTCTCTGTTAGCACATACAGTGATATGAAACTGTCAGCTTGTTCATTTTGCTGAAGCCTAGAATTTAGGCCATTAAGAATTATTACAGGTAGATCTTAAAATATATTATGCATCTGCAGAGCACTGGAATGCCTGTGGGGCTTGAACCAAAACTTAATGGAAATATTTGCATTGCTTAGGTAAAAAAATTAGAAATCCAAATCTAGCTTACAGACATGTTTGATGCTTGTGAAGAGTTGAATAATATCCATCTGAATGGAATCCCTGATATAACCAGTTTTGCTAAAGCTCCTTAGGCAGTACAAGAAGCATGCCTGACAGCCATGCTTTTTTCCACAAAACACTGACAGAAACTTACTTGTAAACTTACTTTCTTCAGATGGTTTCAGGGGGGTATTTTTGTGTTACCTTCTTCAAATCATCGTGGATGTGAATCTCTTTAAGGTACTACCAGCTGTAACTAAGGAACCTGCCATGCTCAACTTTTCTCCAGTTCACTTTGTGCCTCTGTGTGTTTTCCCCTCTTGTTTGTAACTGCATTTGTGTCCAATTCCCTTGGCAGGACTCTGAGAGGAAGCACGAAGAGCGCTGCAGGGAGAGGACCAAGGGTGAGAAGAGGGACAGGCACCGGAGCCGCAGCCGCTCTCAGGACAGAGATTACAGCAGGCAAAAAGACAAATACAGAGAAGACAGCCGAGTAAGAGACTGGGATAAAAAAGCAGACAGAAGCAGAAGTCCTAAGAAATCAAAAGACAAAGAGAGGTCCAAGTACAGATGAAGGACAAGGAAAATATGGAAGGGAACTAAAATAATAAATTCAACTTTTTTCTTTAGTGTTAGTGTTTTTTCTGTAATACTTACTGTAGTGTCTGACTGCAATATGCAGGAAGATTTTACAGCTTGATACCTTTCATTGGAACATGATCTGCTAATTCTAAAATTCAAGATGAATCACTGCAAATTGTTCTGCCCTGGAGTGCCTGTGCCTGGACAGAGTATTTCAATGGACTGTGAAGAAAGATAACTTCTTACTGATTCTCTGGGAACACTGATATTTAAGGAACATAATCAGCTGAAACTATCCTGTGGCAGAAAATTCTGACTAGGCAGGCCAGATGGGATGGCTGTAATCTCCAGACCTAAGCTGAGCAGGGGTACTGAGGGTATTTAATACAGGAATGTGCTTTCCAGCAGCATCTGCCCTGTCTTTGCTTTGGTAAAAACAAAGCTGGAGTCTAACATCTTTGGTGCTTGTGGTAATTAGAAAACAGAACAAAAAAAAAACCCCACCTTCCTGTAATGTTGAAAATAACATAGAAAATGCTGTAGCAGAAGCATCAGCTTCTTCACTTTGACGTAGCTGAGGCCTGTTTGAAGGGGAATGCCTCGTGCTTTGAGGCTCTTTGTTCCTTAGTTGAAGGCTTAGAAACCAGCTCCTCAGTTTTCTATTGGATTCCTTTACTTGAAACAGCTTAAAAATTTGATGTAGACTCAATTGTTTTATTCTATGGATTTGAGTAAGTTTGAGACGTATTTTGATGTCACACAGTATAGTTCCTTTAGTTCTTTGTAGTCTTGAGCTTGAGTCCAAGACTTAAAGTGGGCTTGACCAAATACAGAAAGTGTACTTGGCTAAGAAGCTGCCTTTTGATGAATCTCTTACTTTTGTGTCCTTCAAAGCATAAAACTAGAAATCCAGGGCTTCCACAGCTGTCTCCTGGCACAACATTTATAACTGCCTGAGACCCTCCAGGGCCTGGTGCCATCCTTGCAGAGTCTGAGCGAGAGCCCTCTGTCCCAGAGGAGAGGTAAAAGGGAAGCCTGTCCCTGGAAGTGTCCTGGGGAATCTGAGGCTGAGGACTGCTCACTGTTCTGTCAAGAAAATTTCTGCCTTCTGTCTGGGCATAACAAGGCTCCAAGGAGTTGTACCAGGTCAGTGATGGTGCCTGTGGAGTAGTGCTGTGGAGCCAGTAGGTTGTCTCAAGCTCCTCCTGCTCTTGGCCTGCTCTGTTAAAGAAACAAGGATTGATTGTGCTGTCATACCGTTCTCAGTCCTGCTGTCCTTCTCCACACAACATTTTTAACTTGGGAGAAGCACTGGCCAGATTTGACAAGGATGTGGAGTTAGGCAATTGTGTTCTTTTTTTCTTTAGGAAATGGCAGTCATAGGAACAAACTAAAGCTTCCAGCTGGGGAGAATGCTGGATTCTTGCTGAACATCACAGGTCCTCTTGTTTGAGAGTTGTGGCTTAACATCACAAAGAGTTTCAGCAGCCATTCCTAGGCTTCAGCTAGCCTTCAACCATCAGTGGGACATACAGAACTTACCAATGTTTAGAAACAAACACCCTATTTCAGGTGAATGTGCTCACTTTTCTGCAGCAGAAATGGCTTTTCTTTGCAGCAGGTAAATGGTTAAGAACTGAAAGTTTAAATGAGCATTATATGGAAGTAAATAGTCCATTTTCATTGTTGGCCAAAGAGTCTTCAGAACTAAGGATTAAAAAATCAGTTCATCCAAAAGGTTTCAAGTTTCTGATTTTCAGTATGCCTTGATGCTGTTAAAAATGCACAGTATCTTCAGAGTAGTGAATCCACCTGTTTATACTTTTTAGGAGGAAGCTTTCAAAGGTGGATGTTCAAAAATAAGATATTAATTATTATATTAAAAATTATTATATATTTTAAAATATTATATATTTTTAAAAATAGGTGATTAAGTGACAGTATAGAAGCTCCCAATTTGGGAGCAAGTACTTAAAATTAGGGCTGCATTTCTAGGCTAGTCTGCTGACACTGGAGGGGTCTCAGTTCACCTGGCACATGAACAGCAAAGCACTTGGGTTAGATGGGATTTACTCCTCCTGTTGTTGGAAATTATGGCTGTGTACATGGGGTTCTTCTGGGAATGGCACGAAAAACATATCCTGCTGTGCCTGTCCAGCCAGAGGTGTTGGAGTGGACAGGACTTTATTATCTGGGAGCTGAAGAGTTGACTTGTTTTAATCTAATGAGAACTCACACTTCCCTGTCATTTGATTTTCATCAATGTTTTCTCCAACCTCAGTTTCACTATTGACCTTTGGTGCTTGTGGTAGTTGAAAAACAGAACCAAAAACCCACCTTCTTCTATAATATTGAAAATAGCATTGAAAGTGTAGCAGAAGCATCAACTTCTTCACTTTAACTTAGCTGATGTTTGTTTGAAGGGGAACACCTCATGCTTTAGAGCTCTTTGTTCAGTGGTTAAAGGCTTAACAACCAGTTCCTCAGAGTTTTCTATTGGATTCCTTTACCTACAACAGCTTAAAAATGTGATGTAGACTAAACTGTTTTGTTCTGCGGATTTGAGTAAATTTGTGACTATTTTGCTGTCACATGTTGTAGTTTCTTAGTTCTTGGTAGATCCCTTGAGTTTGAGACGAAGACTTGGAGTGGACTTGGCCAAAACCATGTCATGAATAGGAACTGGTGGTAGAGCAGTAAAGGCAAGTGGGAGGAGGGAAGGTTGCAACAGAGATCTCATGGACGTCACACAAGTCAGTGGAAGTAGCATAAATGTTGTATCCAAGTGGTTGGCATTGCAGGATGGGAGTTACCCAAACCCAGTCGTGGTACCCCTGTACTCTCTGCACATAAAGCTCTGCCTGCTTCCTTACACTTGTCAAAACCACACCCAACCCTAACAACCACACAAGCAAACCAAACCAAATTCTCCCCCACTTCCCTCATCTATTAGCTATTTGGACACACATTTTAAAATTTCCAAGAAGTTAAGAACAATTTCTGATTCTGTTGCTGCTGTTATCTTTGTCCACCTCATCCTGCTGTAGCCTGATTTTTTTCATGTAAAACTTGTATGTTGTTGGCAACAGGATTACAGGTTTTGCTTGTGATCTTCCTGGAGCATGGGTAATGTCTCTCCTTTTCTGTCAGTCACCTGTTGCACACAGAGGAGGTGCAAGCAATTTGAAAAATGTTAAATTACTGTCAGATTTATGTAAATATCTGCTTCAGGGTGGTATTTTTGTGTAAAATGCTTGGTCTGGCCACTGATGGAATGTGCTTTTTCTCAGTAAGCAAGCCACTATCACCTTGGTTAAATGTGGCAGCTGTGTCAAAAGGCACCAGCAAACTGTGTGTTGGTTTAGGTCTTATGAGCTTACAATAAATCATTGAAGCTGAAAGACAGTTCCAGGAGCCTTCTGAAATCTTAACCTGAATGGCAGTAAACTTTTGAACTTGAAACTTCTTTGGGACTTTCTGACTCTGTAAAGGGTACTTTTTTATTTTAAGCCCAGTGGAAAACAACTTGAGTCATAGCAGTATCTTGTTATATAAAAAGAGGAAAAATAGATATTTTAGGCCAGTCAAGTAGGGATCCTGCTACATCAGACATTATGGATGGGATTGCAATTTTCCAAGCAGTTACCATTGTTTGCATTATTGGAATTGGTTTTCCTGTTTTTTGTTCTCTCTGTTCTGTGGTCAGATGGAGTGCTCGCTACACTGGCATATTTTTGGGGAAGTAGGAAAGGTGGTCATTTTGGCAAGCATGTAGAAATACCTCTGGTAAAGATAGTGGCTTTCTGCCAGTGTGAATACAGGATTGCCTGTCAGGAACTGAGCTGGTACTCTAGTAGGACCTGCTAAGTTAGTGATGTAGCTTTTGGGTGGACACCTGTCTCCAAGTCAAAATTTTCAGTGTCTCCAACAGGGAGAGAAATTCACTGGCAGAAAATATCCAGATTTCACCTAATAGTAAAAAACTGTAATTAAAATCAGGAGCATAGCTTATACTGTTGAAAGAGCTTAGCTTGAGGGTCTGACCTGAGTCTTCCTGAAGGGAGTAGGGAAATACTCTCACTTGAAGCAGGATGGAGAATATATTAGTTCCACAAAAAAATTATTAAAAATATTCCTGGCAATAGACCTACATTTGATTTAGCACTTGCCTTATTCTGACTGTGTTGTGTTCTGCTGGTTAGGGGCTAAAGAATTTTCACTGTGTTATTGTGGCCACGTGCTTCTTGGGTACACAGCAGGTAAACTTTTCAGATGAGGAAGAAGGTGATAATGTTTTTCTCTTGTGCTGATGCAATAATGACTGTTTCCTTTAGCAAAGCAAATACCTGACTGAGGTGTGTAGACCAAAACATCTGAGGTGTTCCACAGAACCAGTTTCAAGAGGGTGATTTTTCCATGCAGGAGTCTACCACCACCAGGAAAGTGGTTTTGCACAGGGAGCCTTCCTCAAAGTCGTGCTTGGTCAACTCTGTAGCCTCCAGGAGCTACTGCAACAAGGCTGCCCCACTTTGAGGTTGACAGTGATTGTTTCTGGTGAAGGTCTAGTTGTTCCACAAACCAGTAAATCCTCAGTCCTCAGCACTGAAACATCCATTCCTGGGGAGATCTTCCCCTCTGAAAACTTCTCCTACTCCAGCTCTTTCCCTCTTGATCATAACAATAGCCTTGAGCAGCAATAAATCCGTGCTGGGAAAACTCAGCATGCTTGTCAGCACAAGGGAGCACAGCAAAGAAAGGAAATGTCTATAAAACCACAGCCTTTGGTGCTCAAACATGTGTCTGTGCTGGTGAGTGAAAGGGTGTGAGGCCATCTGAAAAGTTGAGTTATTTCTCATGGTCTGCTCTCTGGTAGCTGGTGATCATCTAGGTAAACAGGTTTCAGGAATTGGCTGAGGGTCTTCCTCAATTTGAATGATGTTGAAGTCTTTTTTGCTCATGGTTTTTTACAGTAGATGGGCATGGTTGTTTCAATAGAAATGAGATTTCTTTTATCTAATTGGCTTCTCTTTTCTTTTTATAATCTCTGGTT